GGAACGGAGACCCCCAGCAGCGGGCGCTGCTGTCCTGCCTGGCGAAAAGCCGCAGGGGGGTGTTCACAGGTCGCGCCCGCTTGCGCGCGCTGGTGTTTTTTGGCAGCCAATGGGCTGTCGCTAGGTGACGTTTTCTGACTGGGGTGGCAGCCAATGGGCTGTCGCTAGGTGACGATTTCTGACTGGGGTGGCAGCCAATGGGTTGTCACTGCCTAGGGGCTGAGATCGCTGCAGGTGCCCCGGCTTAGAAACATCTCGAAGCCCCGGGACCATTTGGAGTCGCTGAAGGGAGGCGGGAAATCGCCAGGCTGGAGCGCGAGGCTCCTGCGGGCAGCGAACCAGCCACAGGCTCGTGGCGGTGCCGCGGGGGTTGGACCGAACTCCCTGCCCTGGCGGGCGCGCGCAGTGTTTGTAGCCGCAGAATCCGTTTCTGTGCGTGTGAGCGAAGTCCCTGTAGCCGGGCGGCCTGTACGGAGCAGGATTCCTGGGGGGGTTGCACAGTGTGGGAGTGGGGAACTGGGCTCCGGTGTCTGGCGTAGAGGGGTTGGGTTCAGAGCTAGAGGTCTGGGCTACAGATGTGCTTAAGGGCTTTAGGGTTGGGGACCAGGTTATAGGGTAAGGGTGAACAAGTTTTGGTTCCAGTTGAGTTCCGGGTAAGGGGTGGTGTTTAAAATTTGGGGTTGGGGTTTAGATTTTGGGGAGAGGGTTTGTCCAGCAGCAGCATAGAAGTACGGGTGGCAATGGGGTGCCAACCACTAGTGATTTATAAGTAGGGGTATTTAGGTCGTTTTAGTGTCAGTAGCACCCTAGGGAGAGGGGTAGGGTCATGTTTGCTACAGGGGGCTAAAATGTTGGGAAAGGGGGTTGCAAGTTGACCCATCATTGTTAAGGCTAAGATTTTTGTCATGTTATTTTTATTAAAAGTCATGGACAGGTCAGGGCATTAAATAAAAATTGATGGAAGCCCTGACCTGTCTCCAGGGCTGTCCATACCCATATGCAAAGTATGCAGCTGTGTAGGGCAATAGGAAATTTGCATACTGCTCCAACCCTGGCTCTTCCCTGCCCCTGCCCCAGCCCCACCTCTTCCTGCCCCTACTCTGCCCCGCCCCTTTCCTACCCCAGCCCCACCCCCACTCCTCTGAGCTCTGCAGCAGGGCCGGGCCTGTACTCACCAGCGTCAGAAAGTGCAGATACGGCACCAGCCACACTGTCGGTGAGTGCTGAGGGGTGATTACCCCCTACCCCCCAAGCCAGCCCCTCTTCCCCCCCGTGGAGGCCTGGGGCCTGCTTCCCCCCCCCAATGGAGGCCTGGGGACAGCCCCCCCGTAGGGCCCCAGAATAGCTAGGGACGGCCCTGCCTGTCCCTGACTTTTACTAAAAATAACTGACAAAATGGGGAAGCAGGGGGCATCTACCAACTGCTCCCATGGCTCCTGGGCTCCCCCCATCAGCTGTGGGTGCGGCTCCAGAGTCCTCTGGGAGCTGCAGGGTCTGCCCGTGATGGCTGGAAGGTGTGGGGTCCCCCTGCTGCCCATGGTGGCTGGGAGCTCCTGGGTTCCTAAGAACATAGGAATGGACATACTGGGTCAGACCAAAGGTCCATCTAGCCCAGTATCCTGTCTTCTGACAGTGGCCAATGACTAGTGCCCCAAAGGGAATGAACAGAACAGCTAATCATAAAGCAATGGTTCTCAAACTTTTGTTCTGGTGACCCCTTTCACATAGCAAGCCTCTGAGTGTGACCCCCTTATAAATATATTTTAAAGTGTTTTTAATTTAACACCATTATAAATGCTGGAGGCAAAGCAGGGTTTGGGGTGGAGACTGACAGCTCACAACCCCCCATGTAATAACCTTGTGACCTCCTGAGGGTCTTGACCCCCAGTTTGAGAACCCCTGTCATAAAGTGATCCATTCCCTGTCACTCATTCCCAGCTTTTGGCAAACTGGTTAGGGACAGCATCCCTGCCCATCCTGGCTTATAGCCATTGATGGACTTATCCTCCATTAATTTATCGAGTTCTTTTTTGAACCCTGTTATAGGCTTGGCCTTCACAACATTCTGACGCCACATGTGGCAGCTGGGAGCTCTGACGTCCGCCCGTGGCGGCTGGGAGCTACGGGGTCTGCTTGCAGCAGTGGGGAGCTGCGGGGTCGATCCGCAGTGGCATGGCCCTGTGGGGGCTCCCAAGCCACCCATGGCTGCTGGGAGCTCCAGGGTCTGAAAAGCTGCGGGGTGCCCAAACCATCAATGGCTGTTTGGAACTCCTGGGTCCATCCGCAGCGGCTGTGAGCTCTGGGGTCCACTTGCAGCAGCTGGGAGCTGCAGGGTTCATACGCAGTGGTGTGGGCCTGTGGGGGCTCCCCCATCACCCATGGCTGCTGGGAGCTCCAGGGTCTTGCTGTGGGAGCTGTGGGGTTCCCCTGCTGTCTGCAGCAGCTGAGGGCCATGGCAGCTGGGAGCTCCAGGGTCCCCCTGTCACATGTGGTGGCTGGGAGCTCTGGGGTCCGCCTGTGATGGCTAGGAGGTATGGGGTCCATCTGCAATGGCATTGGGCTGCGGAACTCTAGAGTCTGCCCGTGGTGCCTGGGAGCTACAGGGTTCCCCTGCTGTGGCAGCTGGGAGCTGCACCCCACCCCAGCATTTGGGGTCCCTCTACCACATGCAGTGGCTGGAGCTACGGGGGTGCATCTGCAATGGCATGGGTCTACTACGGGATCCTCCCGCCACCCGTGGCTGCTGGGAATTCCAGGGTCTTCCTGTCCCCCAGCTGCCTGGACCGGCTGAGGGCTGCCTGTGGCAGCTGGGAGCTCCAGGGTCCCCCTGTCACATGTGGTGGCTGGGAGCTCTGGGGGGCCCCAAGTGCTCACAGTAGCTGGGAGATATGGGTTCCATCTTTTGTGGCATAGGCCTGTGGGAGCTCCCCCATCACCCATGGCTGCTGGAGGCTTCAGGGGGCTCCTGCTGCCACCGGTGGCTGATAGCTACGGGGTCCCCACTGGCTGACAGTTCCGGTCTCACTGCCCCAGGGCTGAGGCAGAAAACTTCACTGAGATCTCTGGAAGTCATGAATTCTGTGACATAATCTTAGCCTTAATCATTGTTGACTCTCTCTTAATCTAGGTCTGCTCTAGCATGGATGAGACAGGGAAGAGGAAGCTCAGACCCCAGCACAGGTTTGGGCAGCAATGGCTCTTGGGTTATTTGCTGTGCTTGCAGAGGACTTGTCAGGCCAATGGAGCAGCCCAGCCAGATGAGGAGCTGAAAGAAGAGGACTTGAGCAGCCCAGACATCCAACTTGGCAGGAGCTGAGGAGCCCAAGAGTTCTATCTGGTGATGGAGGAGGAGCAGCTGTGTATTTTGCTGAAATGATGTCTCTCTATCCAGTGTCTGAGTAGCAAGGTGCCTCCCTGAGAGCAGAGAGATTCTTCTTGTTTGCATGGGCTGGGTCCTGGGGAGGTTGGAGCCTCGCATTTGGCTGTTAATGGGCTAGGAGCATCACCCTGCTCCCCAAGACTGAATGTGAAGGAGGAAAACCTGCCTGCAACTCGGGACACTCTGTTATTCCTTGTCTGTCCTTCCAAGTCACTGGGTGTGAGTCACTGGACACAATATCGAGTACTGCCAAAGAAAACCATCTTCTGGTCCTTCAGAGGACCTGAGCATCCTGGCCAGGCATGGGATGGGATGTGGGGAGGGAGAGACCTGCAGGACTATAGTCCCTTACCAGAGCTGATCACTTCAAGCACTGGCTGGGCTGGTGGGGACTAGGGAAGGGGGCTCCAGGAAGCAGAAGCCAGGTGACCTGATTGCCCATGTCTGTCCTCCAGACGCCAGTACTGGCCTACGTCCTCTTTTCAGTTCCTAATGACATTGGGCAGATGAGAGAATGGCCAACCTGGAGGAGAGACCAGGAGAAGGAGCAGCCACCCTGAGCCCATTCAGCAGGATAGAAACCAGACAGCAAGCTGTGGAGTAGGTGCAAATGGAAATTTGCTTAAGCTAAGTATTGAAAGAGTGCTGCAAACGCTCTTGTCTATGGAGAGAAACGTGTTATGTTAGCATGGGGTGGGTCCATGAGAAAAAAGTCGTTGAATATAACTGGGGCATGTGAAGGTTGGGGGAGCCCTGGCTTCCCACTCAGGGAGTTGTCATGGCCCAGGGAAGGGAAAGTATTAGTTTTCCTGAATTATGGTTATCTTCCAGGAAGGCAAATAGCCTGTAATCAGAGATGCTCAAGCCTCAGCTCTCTGCCTTCCACATCACTGGGTGTGAATAATTGGTCATTGCACTCTGCTCCTTGTCTGTACTGCCTCTAGCTTCCTTCAGAGGATGTGAGCATTCTGGTTAGGTACAGACTTCTTTGGGATAAATGCAAGGGGAAGGGACAACCACGGAGCTATCCCGCTGCTGGCCCTGTCACCTCCGGGCCCCTGTTTCCTGCACCATCCACCCAGCAGAACCTGCCCCCGCACCACTTCACTGGTGCTACGCGACCTGCTGCTCAGGGATGTACAAGCATGCGGTCTTCTGGCTGCTGAACCACCTGCTCCAAAGCCTGCCACAGGTCTCACCTTCCTTGGGCAGCAAGACTCTGGCCAGGGGGGTCCCTCAAACCTCCTCACATCCTGTACCCAGAGCAGCCTACTAAGCACAGAGACTGAGGCTAACAAACCCTGCCCGCCTCCAGCTGGAGCTGCAGCCCAGGGCCCAGCTGAGCCAGGCAGCCAGCGACCCAAACAGGTGGGGCCCCTGGTGTCTCAGGAGTAGGTATTGCCACCATCTTCTCTGTAGTACCATAGCAACGTTACACCATAGTGACTACCTGCAGGGCACAAAACTGGCTCAACGGGGTGGGCAAAGCTGGGCCGGGGCTGAAGCATCACAAACTGCTCAGTGTCCCAATTTCCTACTACTAGGAGTTACTGACACCTAGATTTTTTTTTGGCTGTCCTGCCACATTTGCTACACCCACAATTTCCCATTCCTGGGTCTAGGGAGTTGAGACAGGTGGGTTGGACCATGTCAGAGTTTTGATTTCTGTGAAATCTTTATTTTAAATTGGGACACTCATAAAATGAGATTGTTCTAATACGTATGTGTTCTAAATTAGCAAAATTTTGATTTACTTGTGTCCAGATTTTAAAGAGATTTCACAGGAGTAGCAAACTGTGACAGGAGGAACAGCTGTCTGCCCCTCCCCTGGTTCAGAGGTAGCCATTTCTGACAACCAGCAATTCAGGCACCAGTGAAGGCATAGGATCATAAATAATTTCCTTAAGATTTGTTTTTAATAATGTATTAAATATGGTAAATACAACATCACAATAAAAACATAAGAAGGGTTAAGGTTAAAGTTTGGGCAGTGGGCTGGGTTCCCCCCCCCCTTGGGGAATGACCCCAGGTGGGGCAGGGGATGACCTGTGTGTAGACCTCCCCCACACCATTTGGGCAGTGACTTCTGGTGGCTAGCTGTGGCACTGCCCTGTGTGTAACCACCAATTGAAGCACTGACCCCCCCCCCCCACCACACACACACTATTTTGTCAGTCGGCCCCTCTGCAGGGCTGGGCTGGGGACAGTGGGTCTCTGTGGAGCTGGGCGGGGGGGTCCCAAGAAGCTGTGTGAAGGGAGGAGTCCCAGGGACCTGGTCTCTCTTTCTCCAGGGATCAGCAACGTGTCCATGGTAAAAATTTTGAGGCCCGTGGTAATTTGACAAGAAATGTTGAATGACTGACTGACATAACACCCCCAATCTCCATCACTAAGTACAGTAATTTTGTCAAGTGTCCGTTGCACAGCATGGTGGTGCCGACCCTGTCTCTCTCCCCACTGGCCAAGTCTCTGTCAGCACTAGAAGCAGCCGGGCCTGGCCCGGCCCTGCCTCCAGCCTGGGAGAGGGACCCACTGCCAAGATGCTGGGGCTTGTGTCATTATAGACCCCTTCCAAGTGTGGGTCCAGGTCCTAGGCCTGGAAACACCCACTGACTGCATGAGTGTGTAGCCCTGCTCGAGTGCACCAGTATTTGATTGAGCCAGGGCCAAAACCTTTATGGGGCCAGTCATGTAAAGGACAAATTTCTGCCTATGTAGATCAGAGCTCTTTGGAATCACTGAACAGAAAGTCTGCAGCAGAATCAAGTTTTACAGTAACTGTTAATTAGTATTTAATGCTTCTAACTGCACCACGGCAGCTAGCCTTCAAAGGTGTGTGTGAGGGAATTGGGGTCATGTGCTAGCATAATCAAAATGGCTGCCCCTGTGGAGGGCTTTTCATGAACAGATTCAAAGGAAAGTGTGTTGTCATCCCCATATTACAAATTAGGAAAAAGAGAATCTTTTCCACTAGCTATCTACTAGTAGGTTGTGTGTGAGATGGAGGTTTTACGGAGCAGGTAGCTACTTCACTGCCTCATGCTGTTTGCTTTTCTTTTTCAATAGCCTTATTCCTGTGGCAAAGCTTACAACTGCTCTATAAGAACATACAGTCACTTGTTTCATAGTGAATATATAAATATGCAGCGAAAAATCCTCATTATTCAGGATAATGTAGAAAGTGAAGACGCTGGCTTTGATTGTTAATTATTCATGCCCTAATTAATAAAACTTTCAGGGAAGCTCCAAGTTATTAATCAATTGTTTATAAAATGCATGTCAAATGTAACTTGTTTTCAAGCAATAACCAAAGCTCTTTAATGTTTGTAAATCTCAAACAGTAATTATTCTATATTTAACTGGCATCCAATGTGGAGCTTTGTGGTGGGGTGTCTACCCCACCTAGGACTGGGAGGGGTTTAGATTAACTCCACAGGTTGCACCTGGAGGAAGAGCCAGAGAGCAGAGAATTGACTGCAAGCAGGCTCAGCTGGGCAGGACCTATAAAGCTGGCAACAGGAAGTGGGAGGAGTGTTTGGAGGCTGCTCCTGGGTGAGGAGAGTTGTTATTAGGGAGGAGAACTTGGAACTGGCACTCCCAGGGTGGGGGGCAGGAATTGTAGAAAGCAGTCTAGGGAAAGAGCAGTGAGGAGTGGGAGAGTAAAGCCCAGAACTGCTGGGTTGAGGGTCCCTGGACTGGAACCTGGACTAGAGGGTAGACCCAGGTTCCCCTACTGTCTGCTGGGGAAGTGGCACTATCAGGGCAGTACAGGAGATGACGTCCTGAGACTGTTTGTATAGAAGGACTTTGGGTAACCCTGGGAGGGGGAAACATGGATGATGACCTGGATGGAGGGCCTGGTCATGAAGGGACAGCTGCAGTTCCTGGAGTGAGACCGGTCTCCAGGGCGAGAGAGACCTACTAGGTGAGGAGGACATGGCAACTGTAGAGCTAATCTCTCAGAGTGGTCAGGAAGAGGCACCACTAGCAGTGAGTGCACCTTGTCTGTGATGGGATCCCCAGGGGTGCAGCCTGGGACTGTGCCCCCTGAACTCTCACCAGTCTGGGCTGCCTCTCACAATGCCTTGCTAGTGACCAGCAGCAAGCTCTACAGGAGTTGTGATCACTCAGCACAACTGCATGTGGAGCCCCACACCCAGCTAGATTGCATGGATGCTCCCAGAGCCATGCATGAATGCTCCCAGAGAAAGGCACTAGCCATATGCCCTGCAGTTCCCAGCACTGTACCCCAGGAATATATCATCTTGCCCTGCTCAAGAGGGGCAGTGCAAATGTATTAATTGGTTCACCACTTCAACAATGGAAAGTGGACCTACACCAACCTTTGCAAACCTCAGCAGATTTACCCCACACTTTGTACAAACTCACTGGTAAAGATAAACAATCAAACAAGTTTGTCTATAAAAGGTAGATTTTTAAGTGAGAGGCAGAAAGTCAGTTAGTTACCAAAAGAAATAAAATATAAGCATGCAGTCTAAACTCTCAACTCCACTAGACCGGGCAGCAACTAGATTAAGCAGTTTTTCTCACCCCACTGGATATTGCAATCCTTAATATACAGGTTTGTTCCTTAAACCTGGGCCAATCTCCTGTATTGGAGTCTTGTCATCTTCTTGGTGTTTTGGTTGCTTGCAGCATAGGTGGGGGCAGGAGAAGGGCCCAGTATGTGTGCACTCTGCCTGTTTTATACCCCCAGCACAAGTCCAGGCATGTCTGGGGGGCATTGCTGAGTCTCTCCAAGCAAGGTTGAGTAATTCCTCTGGTGTGGCCTCATGCAGGTGAGTCATTACATTGTAGCTCCCTTGCTGGATGATGGGTTGTTTGACACCCTGCCTGGGCATTGATTACTTTCCTTGCCTCTGGGGAGCTACTATCTAGTTGATTTCCCCAACTTACAGCATGTTTTAGTGACCACCATACAACAAGATTCTCATAACTTCATATGCATTAATGATACACATGTATGGATAGAGAAATGTCTTCCAGCAGATCATAACCTTTCCCCTGATACCTTACAAGGAATGCTTTATATGTAAGATTATGATTATATGATCATGAGAAATATGGGGGTTACAGTATGCTCCCCAAGGTATAGAATGTCTCACTGTCTCAGGCTTAAAATATGTGAATTAAAAAGCTTGTCTAATATGTAACTATAAAATATTTTTCTCTTCAGACAAGATTAAACATTTTTATCTAGGAAGATGACAAGCTGGTCATTGCAGAGCTACATTTACTGTCTGTTGTTTACCTTGCACAACACGATTGCTTTGTTACTATTAGGCCCATCCCTGGAGATGGTTACATGTGGAAGTGCTGTTACCCACATGTTGGATCAGACCCATAGCTGGAAAAATTAAGGTTCGTGTGAGACAAGTTAAGCTTTCCTCTCCAGATGGGGAGGGCAAATAAGAATTGAGGAGGTCGTGTGATTAACTCAGGAGACACTTGGGGAAATAAGGGAGGAAGGGACAGGTTCCTGGGATAGTCCCTGGGGAAGGGAGCTCTGGTGGGAGCCTGGGCTCATGGAGGGCAGATGGCTGAGAACCTGTAGCAGGAGTGAGGAAGTAGCTGCAAGTGTCTGCTGCAAGGAGCAAGACTGGCTCTTGCAGGGAGGAAAGGAACAGAACCTATTTCTGGGAATGAGAGCTGGGAGCTCCAGATACTGGGAGGGAGAGTTCACTGAACCCAGCTCTGGCAAGGAGGGCTGGGGACTCTTGATTCAAGGAGAGAGGAGTATTACTCCTAGGGGAATTCTGTGCCAACAAAATAAAAATTCTGCAATAAAAAATTCTGCACACAATATTTTAAAATTCTGCATATTTTGTTTGTCAAAATAACACAATATAATCACACCAGTTTCAATTTTTTGGTCATTTATTTAAAAATACCTGTTGGCAAGTATGTCTAATGCAGACAAAAAGATTCAGAATTTTTTTTTGACAAATAATTCCTTACTAGGCATATTAATACAGAACTGTGAGTAATTGATATAAACTTGTGAGGATGCTGCCCGTGGGAGCCAGCTGAGGTCACTTAATCAGGGTGAACTGCAAACAAAACGGGACAGACAAACCCCAAACGCTGGTGGATATTTTAATACTTAGATTTACCAAACCAGCACAGAACAGCTTTTATAGTACTTCACTGGTTACTTAGAAGTTCAAACAACACAGTTTCCTTAAAGTGCCCAGCCTCAGGCCTCTGTCCAGACACACATGTCATATATGGTGATGATTACTGAAAATCTTATCATATAAAAGAAAAGGTTCTTCCAATTCCAAAGGATCAGCCACACACCCAGGTTTAATTATAACTTAGATCTTACCCAAAATACACGCTTATAGCCAATTTTTATTAACTAAATTAAAAAAAATTTTAAAAAAGGAGAGAGTTGGTTAAAAGATTAATATACATACAGACTTGAATTTAATTCGTGAGGTTCAGATACATAGCAGAGGTGAGCTTGTAGTTGCCAAAAGTTCTTTTAGATATAGTCCATAGGTTATAATTTAATGTTTATATTCAGGATGACTCCAGTCAGTGACTGGGGATCTAAATCCTTGTGGATTAAGGTTTCCCCTTCTTGAAACCCAAAGCAGATCTGAGATGCAGAAGGATCGTGTCCCAAGGTTTTTATACATTTCCAGCAGCCTTTTGGCCTGAGAAAACAATAGGCTCAACTTTCCTTCTTCTAAACATCATGGCAATTAGCACAGGATCATTTATCCATTAAACAGTTTAGATATAGGTTACCACAACCTTCAAAGAGACATCTAGCCAATAATACTATTTCACTTAAGTATCATTATAAATGTTAATATTTCCTTTTTGATCTTTGAATTAAAACTCTAGCAATAGACAAGACTTGTTTGCCTACATCACAAGCCCTGAGCAAACATCTACCCTTTTACCTCTAACAATACAGACTTACATTTCAAAGCTCTATTCATTTACCTATCTTCCTAGCCAGTCTCTAAAGTTCACCCATGGGTCAGCTCAGCCGGTGAGTTAATTAACTTTTTCTGGCCCTGTCATCTTTCAATCAGATATATTACACTCATAACATCACAAAACTACAATAGGGAACCGTATTTCCCGCATCCCTCAGAAGCAGTGCAAAGGCATGGGGAAGTCAGGAGTAATGGAGGAGCTCAGGGAGAGGGAAATAATTGCTGGGAAGGAGTGAACGTGGAGGGATGTTGAGTATGTGTGGAAAAAGTATGGAACAGGGTGTGTTGGTTTTTTTGGGGGGGGGGGGACTGTTAGGGCTTCCCCCATGCAGACTGTGGCTGACCCCTAGCCTCTCCCATTCAGTGAGGCAGATCTGCCCCTGTACCCCCATGTTTCTGTGCACCCCCACTTAGACACCCACTCCCCCATCCCCATGTGTCCTTGCACCCCCTGTCCACATGTCACTCACCCCCACTCTCACATCCACTCCCCCCTCGGCCCTGCACCTCCTCCCCCTGTCCCCATGTGTGTCTGTGCACCCGGTCAGCCACCCCCTTTCCCCTGTAGCTCAGCTCTGCGCTTCACTCCCCCTCTGCCCCTATGCATCCGAAGAAGTGGGCTGCAGTTCACGAAAGCTTATGCTCTAATAAATTTGTTAGTCTCTAAGGTGCCACAAGTACTCCTGTTCCCTCTGCCCATGTGGCCCTGCACCTCCACTCCCATTCAGCCCCTGCCCCCACCTCTCCTCCCCCACTAGCCCTTATGAGACCCTGTCTGTCTCCCCATAGCCTGTCTCCTGATCTGGCCCAACAGGTGCTGTGAAAAAGGCTGGCTGGGAGCGGCTATTGTGTTCTAGCGCCACAGTGCCCTCTGGTGGGCAAAAGGCAGAGCTGCAGAAGTTTTCTCCTGGGAGCTGCTGCTCTGATCTAGTGCCACAGAGCCCTCTGGTGGGGTGTGGAGGGGGGCGGGGAAAGGTGGAACTGCAGCAACTTTCTAGCAGAAGTCTTTTTTCTGAGCAACAAATTAAAAATATGTGCAGCTCATTAATTATGAACATGTACAGTGGCACAGAATTCCTCCAGGAGTAACATAGCATCCTCAAGGCAACCAAACCATGTCACCTTCAGCCAAAGACCACACTCCACCCCAAGGGAGCAAAAAACCTGTGTGAACTCAACACACCCAAGACAGGAAGAGATTCATTCCCGCTCATTGATGGAGAAGTTTGATAGGCAGTGGGGGGCCCATGAAGCACTTGCTCAGGTGTGCTTTCCATTTCACAACAGGGCTGGACTCTGATCCTCAAACTTCTTTTCCCTTGGTTCTAAACACAACCCAAGAAGAAATATGAAAGTTATCATTGGAGTTTGAATGCTGTGAAGGCTCTCAACCACAATCCCCTTTCCCATTACACCGTTAGGTACACCACAGGTGCAAGGCCTCTGTCACCTCCCCCTGCAAGGGCCTGCACACAGGGATCAGCTCCCTGTGAATGGCCTCTCACCCCTCTCTCAGAGGGCTCTGACTACCCAAGCACTTAAAACATAATTTCAGGGAAGCAGACAGGTCTCCCGTCAGCTCTAGATCGCATCCACTAGACTAGAGACAGCAGCAACAATAAGTCACTTCCATTCATGCCTCTCCACCTGTAAATCTATACCTAACATGACCCATCTAGGCACAGAGCTATTGACACCCAAATCTGCATCCCCCACGGGTTTCTACACCTGCCCATATCCAATGACAGGAGATAGTAGAAGTGTCTTTGGCTGGTAATTGTCTGGAAGTGTCCCCCTCGTCCCCATAACTAAATGTGAAGGAGGGTGACCTGCGTGCAAGTAGAGATGCTCTGTAGTTTCTGGTCTGTCCTTCCATGTCATCTGGTGAGAGTCACTGGAGACCACATTGTTCTCCAGTTCCATACTCAACCGTTCCTTTCTTCAGAGAACCAGAGCATCCTGGGCAGGCCTGGGTGTCGTGGACTGAGGGTGTGGAGAGACCTGGTTGGTTATAGTTCCTTATGAGTGATGAGCATTTTAGGCCCTGGGTAGGCTGGAGAGGTATAGGGAAGGGGATCCAATGAGTAGCAGCCAGGTGACGTGTGTGTGTGTGTGTGTGTGTCTGTCTGTCTAAGTCTTCCATGCACCAGTGCTTGCTTAACTTACAAGTGTTTTCTCTCTCTCTCTTTTCAGTTCCTATTGATTTTGAGTAGATGAGAGAATGACCAACCTGTGGCAGAGACCAAAAGGAGCAGCCACCCTGAGACCATCCAGGGAGATGGAAACCAGACAGTGATCTGTGGAGTCAGAACAAATAGAAATGTGCTTAAGTTAAGTATTGAGGGAGGACTGCAAGAACTCTTGTCAGCATGGGGTGGGTCTCTGAGAAAATGCCTTTGCATCTATGTGAGGTACGATAAGCTTGGGGGAGTCGTTTGTCCCCTCTCAAGGACTTGTCTGGTGCTATGGAGTCTTCCTGAAGTATGGTAACTATGTGGAGAGCAACTTCCCTGTAACCAGAGATGCTCAGTCCTCAACTCTCTTCCTTCTACATCACTTGGGTGAGCTTCCCTGGTCACGCCACTCTAGTCCTCCTCCCTACCAACTCTGGCTTGCTTCAGAGGATGTGAGCGGGGGGACCAAGAGTTGCCCTTGGCCCGTGTGTCCGCTCACAAAGGTGCATCACCCAGGGCAGGTGGAGGGTCCAAGGCTTAGCACAGCATCCCAGACTGATGTGTTCTGGCCTGGGTTCCTGAATCCTGCTCCCCGAGGGCTGTGCTGGCTCCGTAGCTGGACCCCGCACCAGGGAGGCTCTTATGGGCGGTGAGCAGTCAAAGGGCTGTAGGGAGCTGAAGAGCAGCCACAGCCCTGCAGTCCCAAGGAGGACAAGATGGGGAAGCTCTGCGGCTGCCTGCACTCTGACATCAGCTAGCGCGGCAGCCGCCTCACCCTGCCCGACTCTGGCTTCTGACCTCTGACATGGCCATGGGCCAGGGCCTTGGAGGAGAGGAGGCGGGGCTGGCACTTCACTGAGGAGGAGCAGGGGGTGGAGCCACAGGAGGGGCAGGGCCTCATGGCAAAGAAGATTGCAGCTGTCACCAGAAGAGGCTGGCGCTGCCCACGGCTGGCCACGGGGTGTTACTGTTTGTTTCTGAGAAACACTCTGCGCATTACTTTGAGTTGCCACTGGGTGTCACCACTGCTCCATGGAAGAGAGAGTCCATGCATTACCCCTGACTAGCCAGCGGTGTCACTGCTGCTCCTGAATAAACAGTTTGTGCATTACTCTGTTTGTCCACTGGGTGTCACTGCTGCTCCAGGGCAGATGCATTATCCTGACTGCCCACCCACCGGGTGTCACTGCTGCTCTGGGAACATCATCCGTGCATTACACTGACTGGCTTCTAAGATAAATGTGTGGTAAAGGCTGAGTACAGACTCCTGCTCCCTCTAGCTGCAGCTTAGCTTCTAATAAAAGGTTTCCTGCTCATTCTGGGTGCAGGGGGAGAATTTCACCATCTTGGGAGTTTCTGATCTCCCAGGGCAGGGAGAAGCATGTCCTCCTGAGCAGAGGCCTGGAACCAGGAAGGTGACTACAGGTGTTCTCTGTTCTTCCTTCATTACTTCTCTCTAAGGTATTGGCCAACGTGCTCTCTCTCCTTGTCTGTTGGTCTACAGCCTCCCAACATAGACATGTTCACCTGCATGTGTCCAGTAGTGATTGAGACATAGACGTCTATAGCTCTCTGTGCAGATCTATTCAGTGTGTGTGTGTGTGGGGGGGAAACAAGGACATAAAGCTGCTGCTGCTTCTCACATGTGCTTCTAGTGCAGTGTGTCTTGATGCAGCAGGGGAATTGTAGTCTCTTACATTTGTTTGCAGAATGTGCTGCCCTATGTGCTATTTCGTGCAGCTGGGGGTGTGATTAAAAATACATAAATACATCATATTGACAAGTTTGCAAAGACCCACTTGGGCATTGAAAATGTATTCCCCAGAATGCCTCCCTTCCCGTTTCTTCCAGTATCCCACCCCTACTGTGTTATGCTTATAAGAAGCACACAGGATCTTTTTCAGGGGAAAAGGCAATACGCTGCGTTTATTGGAGATACAACACTTAGCATATGCATTCAATCACACTCACACTGTCCCACCAGTAGATGTAGTTACCAGTACAGAGTCCGGAGCAACCTAGTGGCCAGCTAGGTTGATCACAGGTAGGGAGGAGCCAGGTTCTGTCGGTTCTGACACGATGCTCCGGGGAAGTCTTGGCAAGACAAACCCAAAATTTCATGGCAAAGCACCCTGTTTATATAGTGATCTTAACTTCATTGGGACCAATGAGTTTTGTATAGTCAATTGCCGTTTGACGAGCACTTGTTTTCTAAAATTATTCTTATTTTATTCCTTCATCAGTCTCTCGGGGACTTACCCCATGCTGGTTTTGATCACAGCTATCTTGTCCCAGTTGATAGGTGCTTGCCTTATTTTTTCAATTTGTCAATCTGCGCCCCTTTGACATCTCAATAGGGGCATGTTGTAATCTCCTGGCGCCTTTGTCTGTCCTCCCTAGAACATTTGGTCTGGTGATTGCCTTCACACTTATCTTCTAACACACACACTCCTCATTCATGCACAAAACAGGATTGATTTACACACAATATTTGAACAGGAACATCAAATTGCAATGCAAGAGAAAACAATTATTTCATTCTTTTACTTTTCAAAATGCTAATTTTATACCTACAACAAAGCGGTGACCCTAAAGGTCTATTTCTGCCTTGAAATCTGCTTCAGACACAAGATTCTGGCTGGCAGGAGGAGGAGGATGTAATCCTGAACCTTCTACAGATGGGGAAACAAGCACGTTTGAGGCTGAACCATCACACCACGGAACAATACAGACAATTTTAACTACATATAACTGAGTTCTTTAGTATCTCAGTCATGCTTATCACACTGGCAGCCTACTCTAAGGAGTAAGGATGTATTCTGTTAGGTTGGTAGTGTTTTTTTAAATAAAAATGTGTGGTGGTGGACTATGCATTCTAGCATCTCTAACTCCAACGCACCTTTGCATAACAGTGCCACTTAATCTCTGTAATAATGTATAGAAAGATCTGTTTCTCCATTTGTACCGTCACAGCAGTTTTTTTTACATCACAAATTACTAAACATGTGGGAAGAGGGGGCAGGCTACTCCCCTTTCCCTTCACTCTGGACCACATGTACCATGCTGGAGGGGAGCTATCCCAGGATTTTTGCAGGTACCCTTTTGCCCCATCTCTATGTTGAGACGTCACAGCACGGTCAAGGCACTGAGCAGGGGCTTGGATCGAGGAGAAAAAGGTTTGGAGGTGGCAGGGGCGATGGGAGTGTCTTGTGCTTTCTCCCACCATGAAGGGAGGAGCCAGAAACTTCTGGCTGCCAGGGGGTGGTGAGAAGCACAAGCTGCTATGAGACGTGCCCTCTATATGTGCAACAGCAAGTCACAGAGGGAGCATCCCTGAGCTGTGCTGCCAGTGGGAGCAGCCAACTTCACAGTGGAGGGGATGGGTGACCCCTCCCATGACTGGGGACAGTAGGCAACAGTGGGGCACCCTTAGCCACCCCCCCCCCCATCAACTATGCTTTCCCTCCTTGGCTTATGTGCCTCAGTTTCCTCCTCTGAAACCACTTCAGCTCTTGCTCCTACCACCACCACCCCCGGCACTCACCCTCCTCCACTCACCTAGATAAAGCCTCCTAATCCCTCTCATTTCCTCCCCCTGGGGCATCTGCACCCCCATCCTCCTCATCCAAAATCTTCTACTCTCCCCTATCCCCTGCATCCCTCCTGCTCCTGCCCATTCCCATGCCCCCTGAGCAGGTCCTAAAGCAACCTGTCCCTACTTCAACTCAGATGGGCCTATCCACAACCCAACACTCCAAAACTGCCGGAAGCCTGGAATCCCTCTGTTTATTCCCCATCTCCCACCTGCCCCCCATTGCCCCTCAGCCTCAATCCTCCTCAGGACACACACACACACCCCGTAAGACCCCCCACCCTCTGCGCCCATCCACAGCCCCCACTATTACCATGTGCCCAGCTAAGCCCCGCTAGCGGGGGAGGGGCAGGGGCAAGGAATGAAGCAGATGCTTGTGGGAGATGTAGTACACCCCGGCCTACAACTCCCATCAGCCACCGCAGATCTAGCGGCACCGTGACAGAGGCGGGGTCCGGTGCCCCCTTCTCGCAGCGGCCGGGTCGGGGCCCAGCGCCCTCTGTTTGGGCGGGAGGCGCTTTTGGCATTACACCTTCCGTTTACAAAGCGGGGCCGGAAACGGAAGTTGTTGGAAGAGGAAGTTATATCAGCGTTCAGGGACCCCGGCTTCCGTTCTGCGCCAGTCGCTTCCGTCATGAGCGACGCAACCTGGGAGTTGTA